GGCGCCGTGCCCCGGCGGTGAAGTGATGTTGACCAAGTTATTGAAGGGGATGCGCGCCCGACTGCGTCCGTCCGGGGGGGGGGAGGCACGCCCGCGGAGGGAACCAGACCGAGCAGGCGCGGGGCGGCAGCTCCTGAGTCGCCTCATCAGACGACACTCAACGGACTCTCCGTGGGCCGGGGGAGGTTGAGAACGAGGGCACTCGCACGCAAACGAGCAGGAACTCCGGGTGGACCAGCCCGATTCACCTCGAGGACCACGAATGGAGGCCGAGGGCGCACGCCGAAGAGGTCGCCCGCCGGCCAGCGGGCGGGAGCAGAGGCGGCAGCAGGATGTTGTTGGTCGGCGGAGCTCCGCGGCGCCGAGGCGATTGCCACAGCCTCGCAGCGTCTGGAGCAGTGCCCGCATCGTCCGCCGCTTGGCACCCGCGTAGGAGAGGGACGGACCCCGCCAACGCGTAGGAGAGGGACGGACCCCGCCAAGATGTGCGCCTTCTTCCACCGCGACGGCGCGGGGAACTGGCACCCCTTCTCCGACGCGGAGAACGCCCTCCTGGAGCGGGCGCACGCCGACGGCGCGCCGCGCTGCCGGTTGCCGACCATGGGCGCGAACCCGGCGGGCCACCGCGACTTCGAGGTGCGCTTCGGCGCGAACGCGACGAGCGCGCGGATGCCGGCGGCGCCGGACACGGGCATGATCCAGGTCAACGTGGAGAACGGGAACACGCGGATCGTCCGCCGCGACGCGCCGGCGGCGCCGGACCCCTTCGGCGCGGCGATCCAGCTCACGCAGGACTTCGCGTCGAGCAGCGCCATGTACGGCTGGATGCTTCGGAAGAAGCTGAGCGGCTGGCGCCGCGGCGCGTGGCAGCGGCGATTCTACGTCCTCGCGCCGCGGTCCGGCGCGCTGCTCTACTTCACCAAGGGCCTCCACACGCGCGAGGTCCAGCTCTGCCGGTCCGCGGACCCGGCGGCGCCCCAGGCCAAGGGCACGATCCTCCTGCGGAACGCCATGATCCTGCCCGAGACCGTCGACGACGACCGGCCGCACTCGTTCTCCATCGTCGTGCCCGGCGCCGAGTACCACGTCTCGGCCCACTCGGCGCAGCTCAAGGAGGACTGGATCAAGCAGCTCATCAAGGTCGCGCGCGGCGAGCCCCTCGACCCGCCCGCCGGCGCGCCCGCGCCCGCGCCGCCGCCCGCGGCCGCGCCCGCCGCCGCGCCGCCGCCGCCGCGCGACGCCGCGGGGCCCCAGGCGACCTGGCTCGGCGTCGCCGGCGCCATGAGCTTCTCGAGCGCGGGCGACCGCCGCGGCGGCGCGACGCTGCCCCTCGGCACGCCCTCGGGCGCCGTCCCGCTCCCGGCCGTGCCGGCCGCCGCGGCGTCCGCCGCGGCGTCGGGCGCGGCGTCCGCGGCCTACGCCGCCATGCCGCCGGCCGCGCCGCCGTCCTACGCCGCCGCGCCGCCGCCGCCCGTCGCCGCCGCGCCGGACCCCTTCGCGAGCCTGCCCGTGCCGACGCTCGACCCCGCGCCGCCGCCGCCCGCGCCGGCCTACGCGCCGCCGCCGAATCCCTACGCCGCGCCGCCGGATGCCGACGCGCCGCCGCCGGACGCGCCGCCGCCGGACGCGCCGCCGCCGGACGCGCCGCCGCAGCTGCCGTCGCCGCTGCCGTCGAAGCCGTCGACGGAGGACATCGCGGAGTCGTTCGGCGCGGTGCTCCAGGTCTCCGGCGGCGACGCGGCCGGGTCCGCGGCCGAGGAGCACAGCGAGTGCCCCGTCTGCTTCGACGAGCTCCACTCGCGGCCCTGCGGCGTCCTCCTCGGCGACGGCGGCCGGCGCCTCTGCACGCACATCGTGCACCTCGACTGCCTCAAGGACCTGCCCTCGGGCCGCGGCACGGGCAAGCCGCTCTGCCCGCTCTGCCGCCGCGAGAGCGGCGCCATCGTGCCGCTGCCGTCGCTCTTCGCCGAGCCGCGGCGGTGGTTCGACCTGCTCGACGTCGAGGGCGACGGCCGCGTCGAGCCCGACGACGTGCTCGCGACGCTGAAGTCGCAGCTGCCGCTCGACGAGTCCGCGCTCGACGACAAGTGGGACGAGATCTGGGACCACTTCGACATGGACGGCACGGGCACGCTGTCCTACGACGAGTTCGTCGACGAGGAGCGCGGCCTCCGCGCGTTCCTCGCGAAGTTCGACATCGGCGACCGGATGGCGGCCGCGCCGCCGGACGCGCCGCGGCCGCCGCCGCCGGACATCACGGCGGACAAGGAGAAGTGGTTCGAGTACTGGGACGAGGACGGCTCGGGCGCCCTCGACGAGGGCGAGATCCTGCGCGCGCTCGTGCACAGCCTCGAGCTCCGTGGCGACCGCGAGAGGGTGCAGAACGTCGCGGATCTCGTCAAGGCCGTGCTCGCCGCCTGCGACCTCGACGGCAGCGGCCAGATCAACAAGGCCGAGTTCCTGGCGCCGCGCGTCGGCCTGGGGGACGTCATCGTCGAGAATCTGGGGTTCTTCGCGACCGGCGGCGGCGGCGCCGCGGCGCCGCCCGCGGCGCCGCCCGCGGCGCCGGCGCCCGCGGACGCGCCGGCGAACTTCGACCTCACGGTGCGCACGAACGGCGGCCGCGCCTACTCGTCGCGGGACCTCCCGCCGGGCACGGTGACGCCGGACACGACCGTCGGCCTGCTCAAGGACATCGTCGCGCAGGTCCACGGCGAGACGTCCGTCGCGCACGTCAAACTGATCAACCGCGGCATCGCGCTCCGCGACGACGCCGCGTCCCTGCGGGACGCGGGCGTCCGCGAGGGCGACACGCTGATGCTCGTGGTCATGCAGGGCGCGGGCGCCGGGCGGATCGGCGCGGCGCCCGCGGCCGCGGCGCCGCCCGCCTACGGCCAGCAGGCGCCGTCCTACCAGCAGCCGCAGCAGCCGTCCTACGGCCAGTCGTCCTACGGCCAGTCGTCCTACGGCCAGTCGTCCTACGGCCAGTCGTCCTACGGCCAGCCGCCGCCGTCGCCCTACGGCCAGCAGGCGCCGTCCTACCAGCAGCCGCAGCAGCCGTCCTACGGCCAGTCGTCCTACGGCCAGCCCTCCTACGGCCAGCCGCCGCCGTCGCCCTACGGCCAGCAGGCGCCGTCCTACCAGCAGCCGTCGTCCTACGGCGCCTACGGCCAGCAGTCGTCGCCCTACGGCGCCGCGCCGCCGCCGGCGTTCGCGCCCGCGCCCGCGCCGCCGCCCGCGCCGTCGCCCCAGGGCCGCTGCCGCGTGACCGTGCCCGCGAACGCGGGGCCGGGATCCGTCATGACCGTGCGCGCGCCGACGGGCCAGACCGTGCGCATCACCGTGCCCGCGGGCCACTACGCCGGGTCGAGCTTCGAGTTCGCGTACGACGCCGGGGGCGGCGCCGGCGCCGCGGCGCCGCCCGCGCCGGCCTACGGCGGCCAGCAGGCCGCGCAGCGGCCCATGGCCTCGGGCTCGCTCATGCGCGTCGTCGTCCCCGCGAACGCCGGCCCGGGCTCGACGCTGACCGTCAACGTGCCGGGCAAGGGGCCCCACCGCATCGTCGTCCCCGCGGGCTGCGCCCCGGGGCAGTCGTTCCAGTTCCGCGTGCAGTAGTAACTTTTTTTTTTGGCTTCGAGTTTGGGGAGGTTTGGTTGCGTCCGTCGTCGTTCCAGCTCACGATGTCTCGGCCGCCGGCGGCGGACTGCGGCGGCGTGCAGAAGTGCGCGGCTTCGGACTTCGTGAGGGGGATCAAGTCGATCAGGGCTTCCCAGATCGTCGCGGTCATTGGTGCCGATTTAATTCGCCGTGCAGACGTTTACCTCACTTTTCCTTTCATCAAGCGCGTGCGCGCGGTCGTCGTCCACTTCTCGAAGTCCAACGTCCGCAACGAGGCGTACCTCGCGGCGTCGACTTCGTGCAGGCCGACGCGACGAGCATCGTCGCGGGCGTCACGGTCGCGAACTTGAAGAAGGTGCCAGTGAAGCTGCTGCGCCTATGTGGACCAGGTACTCCGCGAGGTGGTAGGTCGCCGACTCTCCCGTGAACTCCTCCCGGTGCCACGTGAGCTCGAGGATGAGGGGCCTTCCTTCGTCGGTGATGCGGCAGAGCGACAGCACGAGGACTCCGGGGTGGGCGCAAAAGGAGCCCCGCTTCGCGAAAGGAACACGCTTGGGATGTTCTCGCTGCCACAGCCAAAAGACTGGCATGGTGCCCAGACAAACGCGAAGCAGCCCAATGCCGCGCGCTTACAAACGCGCGATGTCAAAGATCTTCATTCTCGCCTGCCTCGGCGTCTCCTCCGCCCGCGGCTGGACCCCGGAAACGCTGCCAAAGCCTGCCGGCCGCATCTCCGATCCCGACAACCTCGTGCAAAACCCAGAACAGCTCGAGCAGCTCCTCGCCGACGTCGCAGCCACGCACGTCGCCTGGCCCGCGGCGTCGCCGTGCACGGACGGCGGCGCGGAGGTCGTCGTCGTCGTCGTCGACTCGCTGGGCGTCCGCGGCGACGACGACGACGCCGTCGACGCCGCGGCGAAGACGCTCGCGCGCGGCGCGCACGACGCGTGGGGCGTCGGCGACGCCTGCTCCAACGGCGCCGTCGTCCTCTTTGCGATTCGAGACAGAAGCTTCTACCTCTCCACGGGCGCGGGGCTCCGCGACGGCGGTTTGGTCGGCGACCGCCGCGCGGAGAAGGCGCTCGCCGCGGCCAAGCCGGCGCTGCGCCGCGGCGACGTCGACGGCGGCGTCCGGGCGGCCGTCGACGCGCTCTCGGGCTTCCTCGCCGCCGGCCCGCCGACGTGGACCGAGCGCCTCGCCGACAACGCGGGCGCGATCCTCGTCGTGCTGATCTTTGGGTCCGCGTTCGCGTGGTCCGTCTACCAGACCTACGAAGAGAGGCGGCGCCGCGAGGACTACGCGGCCGCGACGCGCCAGCTCCAGGTCGTCGAGGACCTGCGCGACGGCTCCGGGGCCTTCGCGGCGGAGTCGTGCCCGGTGTGCCTCGAGGACTTCGGGCCGGACCGGCGCGCGCGCGGCCTCGGCTGCGGCCACGGCTTCTGCCAACCGTGCTTGGACCGCTGGCTCCAGAGCAACAACACCTGCCCCGTCTGCCGGGCGCCGGCGTCGACCGCCGCGGTGCCGGCGCGGCCGCCGGACGCGATGGACGAGGTCCGCTTCCGCCTCGACCGCATCCAGCGCCGCTACCCGTCCGTGCTCGAGCGCCGCGTCCTCGACGGCATCGTCCGCCGGGGCTTCCGCGGGCCCCTCGCGCGCGACCCCGCCGTCGTCTCGCGGCGCCCGCCGCCCCCGCGGCCGCCGTCGTCGTCGTCGTCCTCGTCGTACGGCGGCGGCGCCTTCGGCGGCGGCCGCAGCTCCGGCGGCGCCGGCGGGCGGTGGTAGCGCGGCCAGTGATCACATAAACAACAAAATTACCAGTACCCCGTCTCCCAGGGCTTCCGATCCGTCCCGTAGGCGACGCCGAAGTTGCTGTCTTTGCAGTAGCAGGTCGTGTCCGGCGCCCGGCAGTTCGCGCAGGCGGCGTACTTGCAGCGCGGGCACGTCGTCAGGTCTAAACCCGGCGCGTCGTCGCTCGTCTTGATGCGCACGACGCAGCAGACGTCGCAGCCGCCGGACTGCGAGCCCATCCATTGCCGCTTCGCGCAGCCCGCCGGCAGCGGGCCGTCGAGGTCGAGCGTCCGCCGCCCCGCGAGGATGTCCGCCTGCTCCTTCTTGGCCAGCGCGGCGAAGGCCGCGCCGTGGCGGTGGCCCTTGTTGACCATGTGGTCCATCAACAAATTGACGGGGAACCACTGCCCGTCCATGCACACCTTCTTCTTGATGATTTTGCCCTCGTCGGGGTGCGCGCTCCCCGCCTCCGCCGCGCTGTTCTCGTTCGCGTAGGACGCCATGGCAGCGCTCGACGGCTGCGACGCAGGCGGCGGACGGCAGCAGACTCGATTAGCACTCGCTGGCGAGCCGATGTTGACCGTGGCAAGTTGTTGAAGGGTGACATGAAGGGCGCTCGGCACACACTTCGGCACACTCAGGCTTCTCGACACTTCGCTCGACTGCGTCCGTCCGAGGGTGTTGACCAGAGGTTGACGGAGAGGCGTGCCCAGCTATGATACACTTGCCTTACCCGAACGCGGCCATGTCGACCGGCGCGAACGCGTCCGCGGCGGCCGAGGAGAAGGGGTCCGCGGCCGCCGGCGCGGACGGCGCGCCGAAGGCGCCGGCCGCGGGCGGCGGCGCGGCCGCGGCGAACGGGTCCGCGAACGCCGGCGCGGGCGGCGCGCCGAAGGCGCCGGTCGCGGACGGCGCCGCCGAGCCGCCGAAGGCGCTGCTCACGGACGGCGCGGGCGCGGCGCCGAAGGCGCTGTCCAGCGACGGCGCCACGGAGCCGCCCGCGGACGGGACCGCCGAGCCGCCCGCGGACGACGCCGCGGCGCCGCCGAAGGCCGCGCCCATGGCGAACGCGGGCGGGGCGGGCTGCATCGCCGGTGCGTACGCGGCCGGCCGCATCATGGGCGCCGCGGCGGGCTGCATCATGGGCGCCGCGGCGAACGCGGGCTGCGTCGGCGGCGCGGCGGCGTACGCCGCCGGCCGCATCATCGGCGGCGGCGCGGCGTGCGCCGGCTGCGTCGCGGGCGCGTCGCCGAACGCGCTGCCCAGCGAGGGCGCCAGCGAGTGCTGCGTCGCGGGCGCGTCGCCGAACGCGCTGCCCAGCGAGGGCGCCAGCGAGCCGCCGTCGAGCGACGCGCCGCCGAAGGCCGCGTCCATGGACGGCGGCGGCGCGGCGGCGAACGGCGGCGCCATCATCGCCGGCGCCATCATCGCCGGCGCGTCGGGCGCGGGCCCGAGCGCCGCGAAGGGGTCGTCGTCGTCGTCCGCCGCCGCGAGCGCGTCGAGCGCGTTGGAGACGGAGAGCAGCGACCCGCCCGACACGGGCAACGTCGACTTCTCCGGCGGCGTGAACGGCGCGGGCGCCTCGAGGGGCGCGCTCAGAGCGACGGGCGCCGGCGACAGCGCGGCGAAGGCGCCCGACAGGGGCTGCGTCGGCACCTCGTCGAGCGACGCCATGGAGTCGCGGGTCGGTTCCCGCGCGAACGCCGGCGGCGCGGGCGGCGCGGTCCGCGTCTCCGCGGGCGGCGCGAAGGCGTCCGAAGGCGCGAAGCTCTTCGTGGGCGACTCGTCCGGCGGCGCGACGGCCTCCGGCGGCGCGACGGCCTCCGGCGGCGCGACGGCCTCCGGCGGCGCGAAGGCCTCCGGCGGCGCGAAGGCGTCCGGCGGCGCGAAGGCGTCCGCCGTCGCGGGCATGAAGCTCTTCGTGGGCGACTGCTCCGGCGGCGCGACGGCCTCCGGCGGCGCGAACGTCGCCACCGGCGGAGGCGCGAAGGACGGGGGCAGCGCGGGCGGCGCGCCCCGCAGCTCCGCGGGCGGCGCGTCGAAGGCGTCCGCCGGCGGCGGCGCGCTCCGCATCTCCGCAAAGGCATCCGCCGGCGGCGCCATGCTCTCGGGAGCCCGCGGCGGCGGCGGCGGCGGCGCGCTCCGCTCCGGCGCGGCGACGGGCAGCGGCGGCGGCGGGCTCCGCAGCTCCGCGGGCGGCGCGAACGCGTCGGCGGGCGGCGGCGAGAAGCTCTCGGCGGGAGGCAGCTCCGGCGGCGGGCTCCGCAGCTCCGCCGGCGGCGCGAAGGCGTCGGCCGGCGGCGGCATGAAGCTCTCGGGGGCCGGCGGCGCCGGCGGCGCGGCGCGCGTCTCCGGCGCGGCGACCGGCGGCGGCGGAGGCGCGCTCCGCATCGCCGCGGGCGGCGGCGCTTCCGCCGGAGGAGGCACGAAGGCATCCGCGGGGCGCGCCGCGGCCGCGGCCGGGTCCGGGAACGGGAACGACTTGTGGCCCGCGGCGTCCGGCGACGCGAGCGCCGAGAAGGGGTCGAAGGACGGCGCCGGCGAGAACGCCGCCGCGTCCGGCGCCGGCGAGAACGCCGGCGAGAACGCCGCCATCTCCGGCGCCGGCGGGAACGCCGCCGTCTCCGGCGCCGGCGGCTCCGGCGCCGCCGCGGTGGACGGCACCTCCGGCGCCGGCGAGAACGCCGCCATCTCCGGCGCCGGCGACATCTCCGGCGCGGGCGGGGCGGCCGCGAGCTCCGGCGAGAAGCTCGGCGTCATCGTGTGCCCCGGGGTGAAGGGCGCGGGCGTCGGCATCTCGGCCGGCGGCGCCTCGGCCGGCGGCGCCTCCGGCGCGGCGGGCGCCGGGTCCGCCGCCGCCGGCTCGGCCGGCGGCAGGCGCGGGGCCTCGACCGCGGGCGCCTCCGACTCCTCCGGAGGGGCGCCCTGCCGCTCCGGCGACGCGAGCGCCGAGAAGGGGTCGAAGGACGGCGCCGGCGAGAACGCCGCCGCGTCCGGCGCCGGCAAGAACGCCGGCGTGAAGGCGGCCATCTCCGGCGCCGGCGCAGCGGTCGCCGGCGTCGGGAGCTCCGGCGAGAAGGCCGCCATCTCCGGCGCCGGCGAGACGGCCGCCGGCTCCGGCGCCGGCGTCTCCGGCGAGACGTAGATCTCCGTCGGCGCGGTAGAGAACGCGCCCGCGTCCGGCGCCGGCGGTTCCGGCGCCGGCGTCTCCGGCGGCGCGGCCGCGAGCTCCGGGGAGAAGACGGCCATCTCCGGGGGCGGCGAGAAGGCCGCCATCTCCTGCGCCGGAGAGAACGCGGCGAGCGCCGGCGAGAACGCGCCGACGTCCTCCGCCGGCGCGAAGGACACGGCGCCCGCGACGAAGGCCGGCGCCTCGACGGGGGGCGCCGGCTCCTCCTCGACGGGGGGCGCCTCGTCCGGCGCGCCGGGCTCCGCGGGGAAGCTCTCGGCGTCGCCGCCGTCCGGCGACGCGAGCGCCGAGAAGGGATCGAAGGCCGGCGCCGGCGGGAAGGCCGACGCGATCGGCGCGACCGGCTCCGGCGCGACCGGCTCCGGCGCGACCGGCTCCGGCGCCGCGGGCGGCGTCGGCGCGAGCTCGGGCGGCGGCGGCGGCGGCGGCGGCCGGCGCGACCGCGGCGGCGGCGGCGGCGGCTCCGGCGACTCGGCCCGCGGCGGCTCGGGCGCCGCGAAGAAGGCGTCGCGCGCCGCCGGCGCGGCGCCGCCGTCGGCGACGGGCTCGCCGGCCGCCGCGGGCTCGGGCGCCGCGAAGACGTCCGCGGCCGCGGCCGCGGCGTCCGCGGCGTCCGGCTCGGACTCGCGCCGCGACGCCTCGAGGGCCTCGGCCAGGGCCTCGGACTCGCGGCGCGCCTCGTCGCGCTTGCGCTCCGCCTCCTCGGCCCGCGAGTTCGCGAAGGCGATGGCGAGCCGGTCGTCCTCCTCCTGCTGCG